ACATAGCAGATTTCCTCCAGAGATCACGAACTTCTTCAAAATGGTCAAGTGAAAAGGAAGAACAACTGGTGTTTCTGCTCAGAGCCGACATTCACTTCGTGATGTACTTGGATATCGGGATCAATGAATGACATGCCACTCCATGTCTTTCCATAGGACTGACATCATAGTGTTATTCACGTTGGCCAAGCCCAGAATCAAGTATGTACTCTAACACTGTCCAACATGACTTTTCTATACCACATAGCTCAAGAGCGATTAACCACGAATTTTCAGGATCATGTCACTCTAAAGATTTGACTTCTTAGCTTTCCTTATTTGAAACTCTTAGACTATTACGTCTGGGGCATCGTCGAGAAGAAAACCAACCGGTGGTGCCAAAATAACAAGAATTCTTTGGAAGTCATCATCGTGAAGGCCATGAACGAAAACCACTTAATCCAAGTTTACAGTCACTTCCGAGTTTGTGCTCAAATATGAGGGCAGTTTTACGAAATAATCTTTTTTGTTTTTCTAGAGTATTTTTCATTTATTTTAAACATAGTGACATTATATTGGCAAATATATCTTTCAGGTGTTATTATTTGTGTGAAACTCTTAATGCAATCAAAGAATCGGCACGAAAGTTTTTGACGTTGTCATAAAACTTTAGTGTAGTAACATCAATATTTTATCCATATTTTACGAAATAAAATCTAATAATGTCTGTAATAATTTAAAGTATAACTATGATAAAATGTAGTGGAATAAAATTTATAAATATTATCACCATTATTGTTTTTATGAGTTTCTAAATTTTTTATTTTGTCGATAAATATTTTTCTAAAATTTGAAAGTACTTTCTGGTTGATTTACATAAGTACGTTTTCTTTGCTTTTTCAGAAATCATATATAATAATAATAATAATAATTGATTATTACTAATAGTTGTTCATTAGCTAAATATAACTAAGAAATCTCTTACTAAATTTGTTTAATAATTGTAGCTTCGTAGTAATTTATGACGATTATGCCTGGCTCTCAGTTAATGATACAAAACTGCGTGGTTGCAAGATCTTTACTTCGGATCTTTACTTCAATGTCCTTAAAACTTACCTTCCCAACAGATGTCGGCAGTATCGTTACCATTTGTTAACTTACAACCGAAGTATGCAGTGTCCCCTTTGCACAATCTGTCGGTATATTTACTTTAGGAAAACACTTATTCGAACACAAGAAAAATTAAATAAAAAGCTTAATCGTAGTACCTTGTCTGCCGCTTTTAATGAAACATGCATAAACGATGGATTGCTGCCTAAATATATATATATATATATATATATATATATATATATATATATATATATATATGTTACTATAAATGTTATTTTAATAAATACACATGTTTATGTAGAGATTTAGAATTTTTGTCAAACAGTAAAATTATTGTCCACTTGGCTAGACATAGAAAAATTTTATGAAAAAAATGTAACACTCAGAAGCCTGTATTTCTTTATTCTGAAAAGGAAAGGTTTTTAATTTAGCGTGCTTTACTGTATTAAAATCCATTTATCCCTTAAATCGCTTCGTTTAGGTTTCATGCACCAAATATACTTAGCATATAGAAAAGAGATAGAAAAGAGATGTAGATTTCTAAAAATGAATCAAAAGAATAAAAAAGATAATTGAGTTTTCATGGCCAAACTGTAGAGCATGCATGGCAACAAAGAGATTCCCAGGATAAGTGAACGCAGGTACATTTTCTTTAGTAAGTAGATTCTCTTTAATAATGCATTCTCCGTTTAGGCCGGTAGACATTCATTTCCCACTTAAAAAAAGAGATGTCTACTCAAAAACGTGTATCCACTAAAATAACGTTAACAGCAAAAAAAAAAGTTTAATGTCGGATTAAAAATCATCTTTATTCTTTTCATATTCCTTTAATAAGGAGGAAGTTCCACTCAGACATCTTCTTCCCCAAAACAGTCACTTTGCCAGAGGATGCTTCACCGACCACTAAAAACTTAACGTCTTCAAATCTGGGGTCAACCGAAATCTACCCTACATATTTTGATAATATATACCCCTTCCTTCTTCCTCCTCTGTACGCCCTTGCAAAATCTCACTCAGTAACCCTCTACTATGAGTGGCCCTTGGGCCTTGTATTGGGTGAATTAAAGTAATGTGTGTGCGTGTGTGTGTTCTTAACATAGAATTTATAATACCCGTGAGCTACCAATGCTATCTGCATCCGTTTGAATGGAGTGAATTTTCTCTTCATAGGCGGCGGTTCCTGGACGAATTATGAGTTTGTTGTCATTTTTGAGTGAAAGTTAAAAAGTAAAAAAAAAACTAGTGTCAATAGAATTGAGATAATGAGAGGCGGCTAGGAAAAAGAAAAGAAAAAAGTAAGAGACAAAAACATACAGAGAGAGAGAGAGAGAGAGAGAGAGAGAGAGAGAGAGAGAGAGAGAGAGAATTAATAATAAAGATGTTTTGAAGAACAATTGCCTGAAGAAGAAAGTCAAGAAGCTGGCATATCATATCATATTGATCGCCCAAAACTAGATGTATAGTGATGACGTGATGATCTATAATCAGAGGCCGGGAGTTTATTATTAAAAGGGAAGTGGCTACTTGATAGATGTCAGCAGTCATGGTGTCTGGTGCTAGAGGATTAAAAACACGATGATTTTAGTGCTATAAATAAAAATTAGTTACTAAATAAATAAAAGACAGGATGATGATAGGAAAATGAAGATAAAATATAGGATTAATAACTGATAAGAGACGATTGAGACGAAAGCTTAATGGACGGAAAGGACAAGCAAAGAAATAAAAATTAATAGGGGGAGAAGTTAAAGGGGCTGCCAATAAAAGAAATGAAAGCCAATAAAGAATGAAGAAAACCGTTTAAAGTTTATGATTGTAGGCAAGTATGTAGGAGAAGAGAAAGACAATATATAGTAAGAATAAGGAAGACTAATGCATTGCCGAAAGGGATAATGAAAAGAAATATGAAATGAATTAATGCAAACAGTTTACTCTTCAAGAGTAAAGTAGAGAAAAAAGAAGAAAAGAGTGAAAGAAAGGATTAAATAAATAAATGAATAAGGATTTTGAAGAAAAATAAAAGAATATAAATGCAAAAATAAATTCCAAAATACAAAAAAGTTAGTTTAGAGAATGAAGAAAAATGAAAAGGAGAAAAAGCACTGGATAATAAGATTGATTCGTTTTTTACGGATTATCAACCTTTTGCAAGTTAGTTAAAGCCAGAAAATATTTTTAACTTATGAGATGTTTTTCTTTTTTGAGTTAATAATGGTTTAGCAATACATGACTTACTAATTAACCCATAGTTGTGGGGAGAGAAGAGGTGGATTGATACCTTTCGCAATGTGTATTTGCGCGTAAATGAATATAACACACGTACCTCCATGAGATCGCTAAAAAAAAGAGTATAACATGATGAAAAAGACGCCAAACTTGGCGAAAATAAAATGCTATTGTCTAAATGTTAATGTTATTATTAAGAGGAAAGAACAAAGTATTTTTTAATTATTTTAAATTTTTTTTCCTTCTTTTTAGAACATTCTAACTTTCGATTAAAAAAAAAACTTGTTTCTCTTTGTATCACCAGAACAAATAAATAATATATACAATTTTAGCACTTTTTCCCCATTAATTTGGAAAATCTTGCAAAAATAAAAAATAATTGTCGGATGTTAATGAAATTTTCAGAAACAATCAAAAGACCTGAACGGTGTATATATATATATATATATATATATATATATATATATATATATATATATATATATAAAACAAAAAAAAAACAAAAACAAACTAATTCCTGATGGCTTTTGCGTCCATAAAACGGTTGTAATTCAAATGTACGGAAGACCAGCAAGAATACAATAAAAAAGTCGCGTGAAGCGTTGTTCTCCGCTGTTAGGGACTTTATTTTTGCGAAACACGTGTGGAGAAGTTAATTTGATTTTTCAATTGCAACTGAGAAGGGTACCAGAAGTATTAAAAACCTATCTAATGAAATTTAGATGAACTTATTTTTATATTATTTCAGTTATGGCATTTTTTCCATTAATGAAATATCAAAATTAATAATAAAATGAATGGAAATACAAATAACACAGTAAAATGTAATAAATGTACATAAAATTATAGTATTTTATGTACACTTCTGACCTATAAATTAATTAGATACCTTTCTTATGAAATTTAATCTCACTCTCAGTCTTATTTTAATTTTTTATAATATATTTTCCATAAAGCATCGTAAACGTAAAGGTGAAAACTAAGTACAAAAAAAAAAAAAAAAAATAGAACGCTGAAAGTTTTCCTTGAAAGTAACGAGGTAAATAAGTTGGTTCACTTAAATGTTAATAATTATGTCACTTCTGTCCTTCCGTACGATAACTTTTCCTCACGTAAGCTGTCAATACGTGATGAAATCAGCACTCATCACCTGTCAAGCGACACCAAATGTTACGACCTGCTTTGTCTTATTTTTAAACTACATCTTTTCGGCGCAGAAACTAAGTAACGCTTGTTTCAAAATATTTTAAACATTATAATTTCTAATCTTTTAAAATAAGTTTTGAAAAAATTATAATTGATTTTTAAAAAGAATTTAAAACTGAGATTCTCATTTTTTATAAAATGGAAAAAAATGGTTGATATGATTGATTGCAATTATGCTGACTCAAAAAAAAAAAAAAAAGAAAAGATTTTTAACGAAAATTTCGGACGTGCTAGGAACGATTTAAAATTGTAAAAAATACTCCAAAAATAATTTGATCTTTCCTATTAATAATAACATAAACATTTAGACGATAAAATTTTGTTTTCGTAAAGTTTGGTTTCTTTTTCATCATGCGATGCTCTTTTTTAGCGATCTCATGGAGATACATAATATAACAAACACAACGGAAATTGGAACACTGCTCTCCGATTAACAACCACGTGCCTTTATACATTACACCACCTGTACGCCCTAGCTTACAGCACCTGGTATTCCAAAGCGGTACCTATCTTGGTACTGACTAGGCTCGACGTTGCTTAACTTTGGTGATCGTACAGGAACCGCTGTCTCAGGGCGATATGTCCGTAAGCACTCGGCAATAAGAGAAACAGAAGACATAATAAAGTAATAAAAACAAAATTTTAAAAAAGGGTAGAAAAAGATAGAAATTGAATCTAAAAGAAGAAAAAAAAGGTAAAGATTCGTGCATATATAAATTCGCAATAAGTTTGATGATAATTGTATCTATTTTCTGAAAGAATTGTTACCGGCTATGCAGCTGAGATAGTGCCGTGTTTTTCCACTGGTGTCAGTCATAGGTGTCAGAGTCGAGATAAAACGCAGAATTTCGAATGTTTATCTTGACGGCAACTAACCCTAATCCCTATTTAGGGCATTGGCGAAACACAATATTTCTATCCTCATTTTCTTTGAATTGAACACAAGTCGTTCTATTGTAACTTTAATAAATATCAAGGAGAAAAAATTAACAAAAATCTTTCATATTAAATACTTTCGGTTTAAAAGTATTATCAGTTGCATATGCCAGAATAAAATGAATAATATCCAACCCTGTGTACCGTTCATTCCATTTGAATCTCGTGGACAAGAAGCTGAAAATTTTTACATATCTCGTTCACTGGTTAGAAGAATTAGAAAGAAGAAAATGAACTAATGAATAAATAAAAAGTTAAAGGAAGAAGAAGAAGAGGAAGAAGAAGAAACAGATTGACGCAATAAAAACAATGTAAGAAATCTTTTCAATGAATTCAAGAAAAATATGGAAAATATTGAATAAATATTAAATAAACATTGAATAAACACTTTAGACACAGATTAAAAATAAATAGATAAATAAGTTCACATGAAAAATTAAGGAAAACGAAAATTAAAATTTAGAAAGAACAGAAAGAAAAACACTCCTTTCCAGAATTAAGGAAGAAAGCAAAGAAACAGAAAAACGAATAATAATAATAATAATAATAATAATAATAATAATAATAATAATAAAACAACAATGGAGAAAGAGGCAAAAATATGGATGAAAAGGGAAAGAAATGAAAAACCAACAAACGTTTGCATCAAAAACGAAAAAAGAAAATAAGGAAAAGTTAAAGTGGGAAACACCTACACATGAGAAAAAAAAGACAGAATAATGTTATTAAGAAAACAAAAGGGAAGAAGAAAATAAGATTAAAAGACATGAAATTGAAGTTAAAAATATATTCAGAATTTTAAAGAAAAAATATTTTTTCGTAAAGAGGAATAAAGAAAAATGCATTTTTAAAGATAAAATTTGAAGGCACGTGGTGTCTGATGAGATTCATCATTTGACAGACAAACATTCACACACAGACACACACACACACACATATAAATAAATAGGTATGCACACGCAAGCGCGCGTGTGTGTACATCACAAGTATATATACGGCCGAGTGCTATGTGTAAGAAGGAGCTTGGAAAGAAGAACAAATAATGAAAAGAAATAAAGAAAAAAGAGAAGTGCGAGTCGTTTCGGAGGACGGCAAGAAGTGCGGTGCCGTCGCGTCGAACGAGGGATGGTGGGCGTACACATGGGTCCTTTTTTTTCTCAGCCGTCAGATATGATCAGTTGAGGCCACTTGAGACAGCCATTGCTTGCTCCCTTGGCGAGGTGTCATCAATGGAAATGTCACAAGACCCAGGATTGACATCTTATCTTCTAAGGGCTCGCCTAATCGTTACAGTGACGTTTTAACGAGCGTTGTTTCTCCTTCTCTACAATGGTGTCTGGACGGAGTCTTGCCTCATTACTTGTAATGACTCCACCCTTTGGCTGAAGAAACGGCGCGAGTCAGCATGCGGCTTATATTTAGAAATTAACCCCCCTCTCTCCCTCTTTCTCTCTCTGTCTATGTGTTTGTGTGTGTGTGTGAGCATGTAAACATGCTCTGTTCTGTAATAAATAAAAATGTTTCTAATTAGTAACATATCTCTTCCTTGTAAATGAAAATATCTCTTGAAAACACCTGTCCATTCTGCACACTGTAGGTACCTCCACAGAAACAGGATACCTAAGGTTTATTTGAGAATTAATTTTTAAAAATGAAAAATCTTTATTTTATTTTTAAATTTCAAGCTAAAAGAGTAAATTTGATATTTCTAATAAGCAAAATACTCTTTGTATTTCAAAACTAATTTAAATTGACTGGAAGGAATTTTTGTTTTGAAATCACTAAAATTCGCACAGTGTAATTCTCTTTATTAAAAAATCCTTCAAAAATAAAATATATTTTTCTGAAACTTTATTTGAAGAATATTAGTTGATTTAAAGTTTAATCAATTTGATTTGAAATAAATATTACTTAAATTTAAAATACTGCAAAACTATATTTTTTAAAGGCGATAGCTATTTATTTAATGCTTTGACATATTGACAGCTTGAATGACAAATGTAAGTTTATCTAATGTTTTTCTACGGTGGATATATCTGTAAATCTAATGTTTTTCTACGGTGGATATATCTGTAAAGAGGAATATTACGTGAGCAACGTTTTATTTAATTTTTACCTATTCAGTAATCTTCAAAAATTTAGGAAAGGATTCTCCGTAATCTAATGTTTATTGAATTTTAAATAGTTTAACTTTAAATTTACTATATTTATCGCTCTTTTCTTATAATACCGTGTATGAACATTCATATCTACAAAAAAAACGACACGTTTATACAAATGCAAAAAATAATATTTTTAAAATGTTGGTATTTGATGAATTGTACTAAGCATTTCTTTTATGTTTAGTAAATATAGTTTTTACTTAACAGCGATATCACCTAACAGGTACATTAATACAGTAATGTAAAAGATTTTATAAATTACTATAATTAAAATTTAAAAAAAAAATAAAACAATTCTTGTAAAAATTCATAATTCATTGAAATTTTTTTCTTAAGGCAATAGTGTCCTCATCTTTATTGCCATAATTACGACGTTTCGGCCTTCTTCAGGTGATTGGAATTTCAAAGTGAACCCTTTATTTCGTCCACCAGGGTAGATTGTTCTACTTCCACGTCCCATGCCTCTTCCGGATGTCACAGTTATCGCCCTTTAACTCAACTGTCCAAGTTTTTGTTCACCACTGCAGTAGCCAGGTATTCAACTCACAAGTCTTTGTCACCGGATTCAACGATTTCATCCAGCGGGACATGAGTATGAATTTTTGGGACTTAAATGTCACAGTAATTATTTTTTCCAAAGCTCATATTCCAATTTTATTGATATTATTGCTTTTTCTCTAGCACTCTGTATTACTGGTTCCCATATTGTATTCATTTCTATATTTGGCCAAGTTTATAAGTCCCAACAAATCATACACTGATGTCCACAAGGACGAATTTAGGTAAAAATGGCAGCTGTAAAAATGGCAACGGAAAAATGGCAGGGTAAAAATGGCAACGGTAAAAATGGCAAAAAATGGATAAATAAGAAAAAATGGCAAAAGGAAAAAATATAGATGAATATCTCACAATGAGTTTATTAAAATCTTGGATACATAATGCATAATGGAAAAACATGAGAAGTTTGTCAAATTAAAAGGAATATTCAGCTCCCCACCTCCCATGAGATTTTATTTTTTAGGCGATTACGTCTGAACACACTGAAAAACTTGGGGAAAAAACAATTATAGGTCCACTTGATGAAACCGAAAAAAAAACAACAAAAAAAAACAAAAAAAAACAATAAAACATTAATTATTTCAGAGGTTATCACACAATGACAGGATCAGACTGGTGCCAGTAAAATTTAAAATCTTGTCTGATGCGTTTTCAATCTTTTAATACTCAAGTGTGAAGTCTCTGAGTGGCGTCATATAGACATTTAGCAAATAGGTGTGAACAGAAATTCAAAAGGTTTGCTGAGGGAATAGGCCAAGTGAACTCTAAAATATTTACTTCGTTTAAAACCATAATTTATCAATAAAATAATTAAATTAGACCCTGAGAGTCAATACGAAATCTGTGAATGGGATTCCTAACCTTCGCCTTTGCGATTTTCCGATTCCGATTAATCGTCCCAACACTATATATATATATATATATATATATATATATATATATATATATATATATTTAAGTTATGAAGAACTTGGTAAACCGAATTGGTAAATCCAAGGAGGATGAAATCCTGAGAGCTCAATGTGAAGAACAGAGCTAATATTTAATGAAAAACAGACCACTTTAAGGTACCATTACAATAATTTATTTCACCAAAATCCTTTTTAAAGGATTCCGGATCATCAGGTAACACTTCCAACAATGAAATGAGAGGAAAAATAGGATTAGAAATTGATGGGTAGTGTAATTTTTGTAATTAAACAGGGAGGGTGAAAGTGGCAGTTAAAGAGACAATACAGAGTATAGGGAGGAAAATTTATATCTCTCTTAAATAAGCTTTATATTGGGGTAGGAGATATATATATGTTCCTCCATTAGGTCACGTAAAAAAGCAGCATATCACGATTAAAAAAAGGCTCATAAATCAACAAAAACAAAGTTTTGTCTCAATATGTTGTTATTAAGTGAAAGCTAAAGCATTAAATTTATTACTTACAGTAAGTAACATATTCTGGTGTCTTTCAGACAGAAATTATATAGATTGGAATGTCAAATATATGCTCGATTTTTGTTTAATTTTCTTAAAAGCGGCCATTTTCTTAAATTTTAAGAAATTTGTAAACAAACAAAATTTTGATTTTAAACTTCTTAAAATAAATTTATATATTTTTGACACGTTATTTGAGTAAAATTAAAAAATTTAAAGTTAAATTCTGATATGAAACAAACAGTACTTATGATATAAAAATTTGTATCCAAACATTTCTTAACGATGTGTCTGAATTTATCAAAGAAATCGATTGTGACGAGGTGATGACAGATTACTATTGATGATCAAAATTGACAGTTTTTGCAAAGTAAGCGAACGCGGTTTTTCGTTTTTAACTAGTACTTTTTAAATATTAACATTTTTATTCGGCAATTATGTAATATCTATTTTTATTTCATACTTTCTTAATTAGATAATAGTTTAAAGTTTTTTATTAATTAGATAATTGTTTAAAATTTTTTAAGGATTATGTCATGTATACATTTCCATACGTAGAAATTATGAACGTGTTTTTCAATAAATTTTTTTTTTTTAATTATTTTAAAAATATTTTGGTTCAAACGACTGTTATGTGCTTTTCAAATTTCGATTCGTAAATTTACTTTTTCATTAACGTTATCATTGCATTACGTGCGTGAAAGCAATAAAGAATTTTAAACGATTTTTGAAGTATTAAGAAGTTAATGAAATATATATACACATCTAATCCTAATGTCAGCTATCAATTATAAAATTAATTGTAGTCATCAAATTCACTTAAACACGTTACGATTTGTGCTTTTACTGCAATTAGTAGTAGGAACCTAGCGCCCCCCCATAAAACTTCTAAAAATCGACATCGAAAATTTAAAAAAAATGTTTTTAATACTAGGAGTGGGAACTTAGCCCCTATTTAAAACAAGTGGAGAAGGAGCCTAGCTACCCACCCCAATAGAGTAAATATCTATTTAAAAATATTTATTTTAAAATATTGAGGTGGGGGGGGTTCTTAGCCCTATTTTAAACGAGAGGGATGGAAGCTTAGACCCATCCTTCTCGAACGGTCATAATTTTCTGTTGTCGAATTGCCATTTTTTCCTATTTATCCACTTTTGCCATTTTTACCTATTTATCCACTTTTGCCATTTTTACCGTTGCCATTTTTACCCTGCCATTTTTTCCGCTGCCATTTTTACCGAGCACCCCACAAGGACACATGGTCTAGCGTTAGTTGGGAGCAGTGACTCGACCCAAATCGTTGTGAATTTAATACCTGATTAATGCATTGGTGAACAAAAAATTTGGAGAGTTGAGTTAAACTGAGACACCCGGAAAAGGCATTATAAATTTACTATAGTTAAAATTTTGTAAAAATAAAAACAATAGTTGCAAAAATTCATTATTCATCGGAAAAGTTTTTGTTTACATCAATAATGTCCATAATACATTTTATTCATAAAATTTTTTCTAATTAAATAATGGCTTAATTTTATTTTATGATTT